AGATAGGCGATTGAGAGCTAGAAATGTGATTATAATTTGAAAGAATCAACAGGATCCACACTCACTGATAAAATCACGGATGACAGTGAAAACGTTACATCGATTATGAGGTCCTTTGTTAACAATGTTAACATAAAAAAAAATTATTTTCGAATTGGCAAAACAGTAAACCTTGTCCTGGTAAAATAATACTTAGCTCTAAATTTGATGCTATTAACATGTTAAAAAACAAAAGTAAACTCGATGAGAATATGCAAATTCAAATAAGATCTGATCTAACTATTCAGCAACATGCATTTCTAACTGAACTAAGAAACGAGCTATCTGAAAGAATGTCAAATGGAAAAAATAACAATTATTAAGTATGTAAACGGAATTCCCAAAATTGTGCAATCAAAAAACTAGTAATTAGTCCAACTTGTCAACACTCTATCAAGCAAACTAAAAATTCGAATAATCATCTTAGTATTTACTATCAAAACGTCGACGGTATGCGAACCAGGCTAAGAGAATTTAGACATAATGTGCTACTTAGCTCCTATGTTATAATCATTGTTGAAACATAGTTAAATACTGACTTCTCTGATGCAGAAATTGGACTTGATAATTTCGTCATCTATCATGCAGATAGGAATCAATTAACGAGCTCAAAATCGAGAGGGGGTGATACACTTATTGCCATAAAAAATACATTGCAATCAATACGTTTGAACACTGATGACACTGTAGAACATGTCTTTGTGTATATAGGAAAGCCTAAATCTCATAATTATATTATTCTTGGTGCTACTTACATACCCCCAGGAACTGATAGTGAAACTTATTTTATTCATGCTCAAAATGTCGAGGACTTAATAGTGCAGAATCGTGATGTAAATATGTATCTCTTTGGTGATTATAACTTTCCACTTGCTAAGTGGGAAATTGTTGATAATGTTTTAAATGTAAAGTGCCCTTCTGACTACCAGGAAGTTACTCTGTGAAATGTTATTTCCTTAACTTATATCAAATTAACTCTATACCTAATAATCATGTATTTCTAGACTTAATTTTTACTCAGTATCCTAATTCTATTAGTCTGGTGGAAGCTGATGATTTGCTATTACCTAATAACTACCACCAAGTTGCTCTTGAGGGTACTCTATCTGTTAATTGTAAAAATCTTCAATACTAGGAACATTACTATGATTTCAAAAAGGCTGATTATAGAGGTTTGAATACCTATTTAGAACCAATTGGGAAAAAAATCTCGATGAACCCAATATTAACTCAACTATAGTCCTCTATTCCAAAATTATTGGAGAAGCTGGTAAATAATTGTTTATCTTGGCACTGCAAAACTTACTTATTAAGAAGAAAAAAATTAAATATCTAGCCAATACAGATGGCCAAATTAGATTAAAAATTATTATTATTATTATCAGGTACAAGGACAATTGGCTATAACGAAAGCCAAATATTGTTATTTTATAGTTTGGACCCCACTAGGAATGTTTATTGAGAAAATTGAGAGAAGACAATTTTTGATTATGTGCTGAACCAAAGTTAGTTAATTTTTATTTAAAATATTTAATAAAAGACATTGTAAGAAGAAATTGATGTAATTTACTTTTTTTGTGATTGTATTGTTATGTGGTAAATAAAATGTTTTATTAAACATAGTAGGTAATTACAGTTTTTTTTTTAAGTATTTAATTTATTTTGACCTATTTTCACTTTCAGTGAATGAAGAAAAGATATTTTATTTATGAAATTAAAACAAAGCATATATATATTATGTACAATAAAATATACATGAGTATGATAAAATAGTTTTCAAAAAAATGTTTGTCTACATATGCAAATTAATTGTGAGATTGATGAGCTTATTTTTAAAAAAACAAATATTTTATATTATGTACCACTGTATATAAAAGCACTTTCCAAAAATCAGTTTTTTACTTTAAATATACCATAAATAAAGCCATCCAAAGCTTTTGCGTGGATAAGTGTACATTATCGAATATTAGTAATAACAACAATAATGTTTATTTACACAAAATATGATCAATAATTATATGTATTAAAGTCCTTTACTGAGAAAGATAGGCATCCCATTAGACTGAACAGAGAAACAATTGTCTTTACATAAACAAAGAGAGGGTTGCATACAGAGATATTCTATGAAATTGATGAGGTACTTCACAACTTCGACCGAACGGAAAGCAGTAGAACAGCCTTAACAGAAAAACTATAACTTTTAAGGGCTTTATTGATTATAACAATTTGCCAAGCTATATAAAGTGTTCTAAGACTCTAAATCAATTTAAAATTCCCTTAATGGATTATTTATTTAAAAAAATATAGAATATATTGTTATTAAGCTTAATTATTAAACTGGTTTATTTCAATTGTATCTTATAGTTTGTATTGTCTTTTATATTTTCTTTTTTTTTTATAGTGTCTATTTTACTCCTTGTTTTACTATGTTTTTGTATGAAATTAATTATTGTATAAATTAATTTTTACTTTCCTATCTGTATACAGATAAGGAAAGTATAGGAATCATGATTTTTTTTTGACCTCGAGTTTCAGACGGATTTTTACGTTTTGAGGTCCCCTGAATCTGTTTGGACTATTTACGTGATGATGTGCTTTTAAACTTGGTCTAGCGACAGGTACATATAATTATTCTACAATTCTGAACTTAATAAACCTCCCAACCCTTGTAAATAGAAGAATCTTAATGGATATGTAATTCCTCTATAAGATCATAGCTGGGATTATTACTTCTGATGAGTTATTATCAATGATTGCGTTTACAGTTCCCACAAGAACTACAAGGAATAATTGTCTATGTGTAATTCAACTTCACCTCTCTAATTATGCTTATCATGCGCCCCTACCTAGACTAATGAGACTGGCTAATCAATACAATTTAGATGTCACTGTGTGTTCAACTAGTCAATTCCAGAATAATGTGAAGAGAATATGTTTTTAATATCTTTGGTACTTATGTTTCATTTCATGTATTTAATATTAAGATTTGTTGTACCCTCCTTTTATAATGTATTTAAGCTATTTTATTTAATTTATCTATACTAATGGACCTTTCCATAATATATATTTATTTATGTCTGTGTGCGTCTGTATCCATGATAACTCAGAAGGAATATAAAGAAAAACAACAAATTTTAAACTTAAGCTTTATTCTGGCCTGAGGTGAACTTATTAGATTTTAGGCAGAGTCAGAACATCTGGGGGGTACTTTATAGGGGGTCGTTTTTATATTGTATGGCATATATCTGTTATTTACGTTTGGAGAAGAAAATTCTTTAAATAAAAGTTACTTCTAATATTATTCTCTATAATTTTTTCTCAATACAAAATTTTCCTAAAATGATCCGTTATCGTGAAATTTGGCAAAATGTGCAAAATTCTGATTTTTAAGAAAATTGTTAAACTAAAAAATTGGAGGTAAAGTGTAAAATTTTAATTTTTTAGTATTTTTGTTAGCAATATATATAAAAAGTTTTCGATTTAAAAGTATGTGGAAAATGTATATATTTAGTTTATCCTCTAAACATTTACAGAGGTGCTACAATAGGTTGTACAAAATAACTGGAAAAAGTGTAATAACTAGATAGGAAAGTCATGTGTTGGACACATCAGATTTTTTTTCTATATTAGGTTGTATTCTACTTTCAAATAAATATTATTATATTATCATTGCCCTCATTTTCAACCTAACCTGGACTGAAAGTTGTCACTTTTGGAACCATATTCTTTGAGACAATTCTTTGAGGAGATTCTTTGGGACAATATCCTCTTTTACCTCACATATGGATAAGCTAAGGTTAACGTTTACTTAGAACACACATATAAATGAATATTAATATGGAGGAAAAGTAATTCAGAGTTGAGATTGAACAGACAATTCCTGAAGCAGATGATTATTAAAATGCACCTTTAATCCACTCAACAGTTTTGAATAATGAATGTATCCATTAGATGTATAGGTATGTACATCCAGCAAAACATGTAACAAATTTTCTAATATTTGGAGTAGGAGAGGAAAACATGTAAATAGCATTTATATAAAAGAAAGATGCAATAAATAGAAAAAGGCTCAAACGTTAGGAAAACTAATTTTTAACAGTACTGTAAAAAATTCTTCATGAATGTGCTTACTGCACCATGAGATTTATTATATCAAAATGTTGAAACTTTTTTTGTAAATAGATACATGCTAATGTCTAATCCTCATATCGGCAGTTAATATTTAGGTAGGTAAATATATGTAGGTTTCTTATGGAAGACCTAGGAATTTCTGTTCAAAAGTAAAAAATCAACACGACTCTAATGAAAAATCGCCACGCCCCCCCATCTTTTCTCTAAAAACAAAACAATTTTATCTAATTTCATTTTTGGGAATTTCGCAAGTAACCTTCAGAGTTCAGACCCACATTTCCATGTGTAACCAATGGATTGGTAGGTACATGACAGGAATGAAAACAGATTTCACTTCGGCAATTTTTTTACATTCAATCTTGTTTACAAATATGTTTAGATTTATTTTTTCAATAGTCTTGAATTCTTCACAGAAGGTGATTTTTAGAGAGATATTTTTATCCGGGATTTATAAACGAGACCTTGATTACTTCGTTACAGAATTATATTAAGTATAAGTAGGTTGGAGCAGACAACGGACGCTTCATATTTCATGAAATTGATTGTGGCTTTGGCGGTCAAAGGCGGGAAAATATAACTTATACTTACAATAATAAATAAACTACATATAAAAATATACGGAATATATATATTTTTTTGAGGGAAAAACAATGCTTCAACCAGTAAATCAGATTCTTTAGTGGTTTTACAACATGGCGGGTTCTACATACTAGCGTTTCAAGTGAAGCTCCCTGAATTTTTCCTTTTCTTACAAAGAAAATAGGTTTTCATCACAAACTCTTATTAAATTATGATAAATGGTAACTTATTGAACATTTTTAGTACATTACCTGCGTTTTTTGAGTGATAATCCACATTTGTAACGAGAAAAATACAGAGCAACACACTTTCACTCACCTAACACATACCCGCTAGCCAAGCTTGCCACTAACTGCCGCGATGGCCGACCTGCGGGAGCCTTGTGTGGAACAAATACCCAATGATTTCATTAAAACTACATAAAAGGGGCTGAATATACAAAAAATACTGTAAAATACTGGCCACAAATGAGATTTTACTAATAAATTCTTAAAAATATTCACTAAATTCATATGTTCCTGTACGATGTCAAGCGATTATAGATTTACTTTTTGAGGTCATACAAATGGCTTCTCACAAGAAGTTCTAAGTTTTATTTTTCATTTAAAAAAGAAATTATACAAATAATAATTGTACTTTACCATGATTTTCTGGAAACATTAGGGATCCAAAAATCGTTATTTTGGTGAAATAAAAATCAAATTCGAGTTTATTTACTTTTTAATTATTGTTTTGTTTTCACGTTTAATCGGCCTATTTTTGAATTTTTGCAAGGAAAATAAGTTTTGACAAATAATAAAGAGTACGTACAGATTTATTACAATGCGAAAAGTTTACATAACATGATGAAATCTTATATTTTTGGAACTTTCTTCTCAAGGAAGAATGATAAAAAATTCGCGCACATCACCAAAATGCGCATGACATTTCCTATTCCTTGACTGTTGCCAACCTAAAAAAATATGCTTCGGTTGCCTGGGAAATATAAAAAAAATGTTTTTGATCGTCTTCGGTGTGCAGTACTTTGTTTTTAATTTTAAAATGGTAATAAAACCAAAATAAAAACATTCTTATAGTTTTTTGTCGAGTTATAAGAACTATTAACCAATCAAAATGCAAAAATATGTTTCTACAAAATCTAACAAAAGTTGAATTTGTTTTTAAAATCGGTAAGGGCCGATTCCACCGTTGTGTTAAACGGGGATTAAAATGACATTGTTAATGTAAAAATGTAATTTTAAACTACGTTTAACACAACGGTGGAATCGGTCCTAACAAAATTATTTAAAAAATCAGTTTGATTCATGTTTGATTTCATCCATTTGATTATTTATTACCTATAAATAGACCACGCATATTTTAAGTAGAAAAATAAGTAATTTGTTGTGAAGTAAGCTCACTGAACTATAAAGGTGCGTATAGATATTAAAATGTGCCTGTAGATAAAACGGGTCCGATCCAGGCCAACAACGGGCCCAGTTTTGTAGGGTGTCGTATATCTACCGCGCGATGGAAGCAACGACGGGCCTACCACGGGCCGAGTCAAATAGGATTGAAGTAGGTCCGTTTGCTTTTCATCGCGCTGTAGATATACGACACCGTACAAATCTGTCGATCCTGGGCCCGTTGTTAGCCCGGGTCAGATCCGTTATATCTATACGCATATTTACGGACCGAATCCGGTCCGAGCCAACAGCGGGCTCAGGTCCATCAGATTTGTACGGTGTCGTATCACCTACCTTGAACTGGATGGCTATACTCTTAATTTCTAAGGGCTGATTCCACCGTTGTGTTAAACGGAGATTAATGGTAGGATTCTGGGAAATATCCTATAATCTACAGAATCTGTAAGGTATAGTGGGTATAGTAATGTAATTTTTTATAGATTTGGGCGCACAGATCTTATAGATTGTCTCAGAATCGACCCATAAAATGAGATTGCTAATTAAAGACCGATTCCACCGTTGTGTCAAACGAAGTTTAAAGTAACATTTTTCATTATCAATGTCATTTTAATCTCCGTTTAACATAACGGTGGAATCCACAAAGCACATAGAGGTTCCACGTGAATGACCCAATGAACTGGAGGGGAGTAGAATGCCAATGTACATGTTGTACTATTAGAACAAGGTGCGACTCGATGGGCGCAGCCATTTTTATTGTTCATCTCACTCGGGACTATTTATAATAACCATTTTCTGTTTCACATTGTTATTGTTCAATCCACAAGCTGGTGGATCAGACAATAACAATGTGAAATAGAAACTGGCTATTTTAAATACTCCCGAGTGAGATAAAAAATAACCTATCTTCGCCCATAGAGTCGCACATCAAGTCTATTGACAAGCATTCTACCCCACTCCAGTTCATTGGAATGACCAAGGTCAAAACCACGGTGTACTATAGGGACCGTGCGTCAAGACTTTAACGCTAACTGGTGAAAAAAATTTGAACTTTATGGGGGGTATTTATTAATATTTTATATGGCATTTATTGTTTAATAATTATTAATTAAATAAAGTCGAATTATTTTCGTAATATCATTATCGAAAAAAACTTGTTGCATCCGTGGATGTACGAACACATTACTTTGGAAACCTGGATTTCATTCAATAGTAAAGAAATTTTATAAATTTTCACAGAGCAGAATTGTGTCTCACGCCCAATGATATACATAATTACATTACATAGATTGCTTATCCATATGTAAATCAGATGACGAAAAGCGTATTTCACTGGGCAAATAAGTTTTTTTTTATCTAGCTTTGTATCAATTTTGAGCACTTGAGCATTTACAGAACCGGTTTAGAAATTAGAGTCTTTAGTGTTTTATTGTCATTAAGATTTTTACATATTTAAATGAACATTTTATATAAATATAATTTTACAGATAATTAATGGTTTATTCTGTTGATTAAAACTAACGTAGAATGTTACTATGAAATAAGTATGTCCAATTTGACAAAAATATCATAGCCCTCTTTACAATTTATTAACTATTTCTCATTTATTACTAAAATAAACAAATCATAAATAATACGTAATGTACTATCAAAAGAGACTGCAACAAACTTTAAAATATTAAAAATCCAGTGATTTTTGTAAATTTTTTTAGTGACATTACCATTAAACATTATTCAGAATAATAGATGTGTCCAATTACAACTCTCACCAAAGTTGTTTATATCTCATATCAAAGTTGTTTACATTTCCTTTTTAAAATTGTATTACATATTGCAATTATGTATTTTATGTAGTGTAATTTCTGAAATGAGAGTAGTCTAAAATTATTTATATCCATCTGTTTTAAAAATTGTTTAGATCTCTTAATATTATTTAACTACATGGAAACTCAACTTTCCAAATACATAATAACGTGTCTTGAAGTAAAACTTTAATTATTTTCTTTTTCTAAAGATTAAAATACTGAAATTTTATATTAAAACACATTTGGGCTAGAACGGCTCTATTTTAGTGAGCACTAGGAAAGGCACATTGCAACCCGCTTTTCGTAATTTTTTTATAGATGGGTGAGCAATCTATAATATGTATATCATTGGGCGTCTCATAAACGTCAGTGGATGAATGACATTTCGACTAACATAAATCTAAAAAGAATTATTATTATTCCCAATCTTTTTTATTAATTTACATTTTTTAAATGTTATTGTAATACTTTTAAATTCAGTGTTACTAAATACCGATATTTTGACATTGGATACACTTGTTTAAGGTACAACTTTACAATTTATTGTCAATTAGCCTTATAAATCTTTTTGCTTAAAATGTATATACCATAGCCCTCAGAAGGTCTAGATACCGCATCGTAAAAACATTTTGACCCCCCATATGATGGGCGCCATGATAAATAAATGTCAATAAATTTTAAGTTGGCAGTACTGACAAGACAGAATCGGCGCAAGTTTAATCTTTCCTCCATGAGTTTAGTAATAAGCGTAAGATCGGCGTTCGACGTATATAATTGATTTTATTATCTGTTGTGTTGTTTATTTTGTTCTTCTAGTAAAGGTTTTATTTAAAACATTATTTTTTAGTTTAGTCGTTTAGTGTTTTATTTTATTAAAAAACATTTGTGGTTTGGTGTTAAATTTTTACAGGATTTTCCAAATCTCTTTTTGTTTTGTACGTGAATGTAACAATGCATCTAACGGTAGAAGATACAAGGAAGGAATAACATTTCATGTGTAAGTTTTCACAAATATTTGTGTATTTACAAAATCAAATAATTTGTATGTTTTGTTGTAGCATACCAAAAAATGTTAGGAAAGAATAACTGATAGCCATAGGAAGACCATTGAATCATTTTGTGACTTTAGTATAAGCCCAGAAAATTTGGGGATACTAGCTGAAACGGCAAATGTGTTATTGGCTCCTTGTTAGTGACCTATTGTACAATTTTTCCAACACAAGTTCCATGATCCTTTGAACTTGGCTGCACCGTACTGATGAAGACCAATAGTCAGAAAAACGTGTCGACCGTTACTTCTTTTTTACTTTTTTTTATTCGGAAAATGTCTACTATTACTACCTTGATACAACAATATTAGTTCCGTTCTAAGTAGGTACATATTATAGTTTGTATGTTTTATGCTTTATTTTATTATATGTAATAAATGATAGGAAATATACTTTTATAGTAAATAAATTGATTAAAGCAATATGTAAGAATAAGTTTATCTAAGGATTAAATTGTTAAAGCAATTTTTCATATCCATTGTTTATTAATTTGTTTCATTTAATTCTTTCTTATTGAGTAAGTTATTTCATATAAATATGCGATACTTGTAAAATGTAATATTTTCTTTTAAATATTATGTTCGTATAAAATATTGTTCAGTTAATAAAAACAGAAATATTTTGTCTTTTATTCAAAAGAAGTTTGTAAATTTTTCAAAATATATTTACCTACCCCAAAAAAAGATTAATAAAACCAGTTAGTCATATACACATTTTCTATATATTTATAGAGGTACTTTTTAAATAACTTTCAATACATTAGAAATCTGTGGTTTTATTAAACTCAATGTAACAAATAATAATAGGTAATCTCAAAAATATTTAAAAATAAAATCGAGATGGGACTCTTGTATAATTTAGTGACTATTCGCCTATGGTTAGTGCACTGCTGTATGTCCCTGGGTTTTCTACATTAGAACAATACTGCTTCTCCACTTTAGCAGTATTTTTTGCATCTCAGATTATATTTATTAAAAAAACCAAGGAATTGTTTTGGACCTATTGCTGTGCCCTTTTCCAACATTCCCAAAGTTTTTTTTTACTTTCTGCTGATTGGATCTCCGATAGCGACAACTCCATTTGTTGTTCCACTAGTTTTTTTATCAAATTTTTAAAATAACTTCTATATATTTATCTTTTGCAATGACTTTGCTTACCTGCTTCATAATTTCTTCCCTATGCCCCAATTTCTCTAACAGGTGAGATCTTATACTCGCTCTATTAAATCAAATTATCATTATAGTTTATTTGAAAATGCTTGGTAGCACAGTTTTTATGGCAAAGGTCCATATTTTTATATAATTTTGCTATTATTCATTTTCAAATAAACTATAGGAATAGGAGTAATCTATTAGTTTTTCTAAAAATACCTTGTTACCGATGTAAGTATATCTTTCCCTAGTTAAAAAATTCGAGTTTTTATTTTCATAATATAAATAAATGACCGGTTAACAATCACATTCTTTTAAATAGTACATTTGACATTGAAGTAGGTATTTTCTCCATATTGCCAAACAGGAACAGATGGTTTACTTGTAATTTGAATTATATTACATAAATCTCACAGAATTTCTCTAAAATTCTCAGCAATATGTACACAAACCACTTATCCAATAATGGGTCCTATGATTGAACGTTTATGTTATCCATAACGTATATGTTAGGTCGAATTTTAACAGTAACGAA